GGGCTGTTCGGGGCCGGCTTTGCTGCTCTCCGCTCCCCCTTCGTGTTCCTCTCCAGCCTGTGGGGCGAGACTCGGCTTTGGAGAGGGGAGGGAGCGGTGGGAGAGAACTGCCCGACGGGCCCCGGACGGGGTTTCTCTGCCGTGGTTTTCTGAAGTGCTGGCAGGAGGAAAGTTGCTCCTGTGTTTACCAAAACCCCCGTTGTTCAGAGGCCGGTCTAACTGCTGTCACAGGTTCCCAGAACTCGTCTGGTTCATTTTGTGGGTGTGGAATGCCCTGCTTCCCTTTTTTTCTTTAATTGAGTTGGTAAGCTAAATCTGAACACAAGATTTGAGCAGCTGAGCTGGGAAGGTGACCTTCTGAAGGGCTTGGAGTAAAACCGTTAGGAACTGAGCAAAGAATGACTTGAAATATTTTATTTTCCTGCTTGGACTTTGTTTCTGGTTGTTTGGGTTTGGTTTTGCTTTGCTTTTTCTCTAGCAATAAAGAGCAGTAGCAGGACAAGAGGGTAAAGCTTGGAAGCTGCAGTGTGGGCGTAACCAGGACATGTGTCTGAGGCTGCCTGTACCTATGAAGCACAAGCTCCTGCTGCCCGGGAGGAGGCCGAGCTCCCTCCTAACTGCAGCTTTGCTCGGGCAGGAGCTGGGACCAGCCCCTCAGGCTGTAGCTGCACATTTCCCTTCCCAGAGCCGTGTCCAGCAGGTGGAGCTGAGCCACTGCTCCTGCCGCTGGTGTTGGCAGGGAACTGCCTGGCACTGCAGCAGAGCATCTTCCCTTCCTTCCCTTGCAAGCAGAGCTTTCCCTGGAGAGGGCAGCTCGGGGAGTTAGGAGTGACTGAGCTCAGAAAGCTGCCGGTCTTTCTTAGAAGTACAGACGAGATGAAACAGTTTTTGGCCAACACTTCTTCACCTCGCTGAGCTCGGCTGTTGCACAGCTAATGGTGCTTTTCTCTGTCCCAAAGTTACAGCTGCAAAAGCACAATATTCCTCGAGCTAGAAAACTGCCAGGGCAGAACCAGCCCTGGCTGTGAAGATAGGGAGGTTTGACTGCTGAAACACAGTGCACCTGGGAGTAAAACTACTGACTTTGAAAGGCAGAGGGAGTGAAAAGGACAGGTTGCTGTGTGGAGGCTGAGAACTGAGCTTTCCTTGCTGTCACAGGGGCTGTTTGCCTTTCCAGCTGAGGTGGGTCCTGGAGCTGGGGGCACATCTAATCATGTAATGAATGCTGGGTCAGCCCCAGCCCTCTGCTTAGGATGGGGAGGAGTGGTTTAAGTTAAACAAAAAGAAACACAAAAATAACAAAAGAAACCCTCTGAGTAGTAATTTTTTTTTTGTTTGGGCAGCTTTGGGGTTGGTTTTGGGTTTGTTTTTTTTTCCAAGTTGTTTTTCTCCACGCGGACTAAGAAGCACCAAGCAGTAAATGTCACCTCTGGCTCTGCAGGTTAAGAAGGCATACAGGCAGAAGGCCCTGACATGTCACCCAGACAAGAACCCGGACAAACCCCGAGCAGGTGAGATGGGACTGTGCAGACACAGGCAGCTGGGGGTGTTTGTTTTCACACGTGCAGGCTCCTGCCAGTGGCTCTGCTTGACTGCAGGGCTGTCTCTGTGTGGGACCAGGGGCATGCCTGGGGGTGTGGCAGGGAAAGTACAGGTGTGCAGGACTAGGAGTTACTTTTGTCACTGTTGGAGAGCTCTGATTAGCAAGGCTGAATGTTTACATGTTTGTTTTAGTAACATTGGTGCTGAAATTTTGCTTGCACCACTCGAGATCTTGCTTGGGTCCCAGACCTCTGGCCACACTGTCCCCAGCATTCACTGGCTGGTCACTACTTCAATTCATACCTGTAACAGCCAAACCTTCAGTAACAAACTTAGAAATGGTATTATCTGCAGGCAGTGCCCATCTCAGCCTGTTGGAGACAAGGCCCTGACTCTGTGAAACTTGGTGTTCTAATTGTTCATGTTTTCATGATGTCTGTTACAATGGAATGGTCCCAGTTTTTGTTTCTTAATTTGCCCTGAAGATAACGTGACAAATGTTGTCCTTTGAGATGATCCTGCCTCTAGGGTGGCTTACAAATGCTTTGGGAAGATTGTTCTCCTTTCTGATGTTCTGCAGACCTCTTCCACAAGGGATTGTCTTTCCTCGTTGCTCTTCAGGCCACTAACTTGGTTTTCTCCTCATTCCCAGCGGAAGTTTTCCACCAGCTGTCCCAGGCCTTGGCCGTGCTGACAGATGCAGCAGCCAGGGTAAGGATGCCTGTCCCACGGGGGCTTGGGAGCCTGGGGGGTTACTCCTTACAGGCTGGAGAAGTGCTGGAAACTGTTTCTCTCTGTCCTGCTCTCTTCTCTGGCTCAGGAATGCAAGTCTCATCTGTTATTCCCTGTAGTTCTCCGTGAGATCAAATAATAGGGGCCAGATAAGAACCTGGACAAATGTTCCTCTTCTGATCTGATGTGCTGGGAGCAGCTCTGTCCAATTGCTGCAAGGGGGAGATACTGTCTTTAATAATGTGTTGGGCTGGGGCATATCCTGTTGAAAAAATCCATGATAAGCAGCACTGACTCAGAGACATATTAAATTCCCATGACAACAGGGCCTTTGCAGTTCCCTTGAAGCCAAGGTCTGGCCAATAAATAATACCCAGATGTAATTGCTGAGGCTCAGAGCCTTTCTTTCCATGGGGCACAAGGGGCATGTGAACAGCAAAGCTGGAGCATAGTCCCCATCTCTGTTCTCTGGCTGCAGGAGCTCTGCAAGCTGCCTCGTGCAGCTCAGACTCTTTCCTTGCTGTGAGGAGGCACTTGGGTGGCTGCTGCTCAAGGCCTGGAAGTCATCTGGGGACCTGAAGGGAAGGAATTACAACAAAGTAAAATGAAAAGTACCTCTACCCAGATAAACTCAGTAGAGAAGGCACGTTGCAGTTTGGGATGATCAGATTTAAACACATTAATTAGCTCTTCTCTTTGCAAACACTGGCAAAGATTGCAATCTCTGCCCCCTCCCCGAGGGCCAATTAAGATTTCAGCTTCAATCACTTTTTGGCTTCTACATTTTAAAAAGGAAAAAGCTTTTAGCAAACCCTTCCCATACAGGAAGGGAAAACACCAGCCTTTCTGGTTTGCAAAACAAGAGCAGGGCTTTCCTGTGCAGCTGCTCTACAGGTAGTGTTGGAGCATTTGTGCTGGTCTGTGCTTCACCTGCTGCAGAAAGGTTCTGTGTGGGCTGAGGAGCATTGTCAACTGGTCTAAACAGGGAACAGTGAAAATGCCAGTTTACCCCAGTTCTGAAGTCTCTGTGATGCTAAATGAATGTTGATGTGTTGCTGCTGCTGGGGAGTTCTGGGGCTCTTTGATCTAACATGTTAGTGTGGGTCAAACCTGTGTCTTGTGAATAAATCTTTAAAATAAAATAGACCTTTTTAATTGTATAACTTTGCTCCCAACCAAACCTGATGCCCCTAAAGCTACTTCTGGCATGTTCAGGAAACCAGAATGGTTTGAAGGTGGGTCAGACTTTCTCTCCAGCACACTTTGCAGTTACCCCTGGGCTTCCTCACCCTTCCACGCTCCATCCAGATATCCTTGGGCCTCTTCTCATGCTTTCAGGACATCTCTGTTGGCTTCCACCACCTTTGGGAGGAATGCCAGCAGAAAGCAGAAAATGCTCCACCTCTGTTTGCAGTGTTTAAGTGTCTGATCTCCCCTTTACTCCCTGCTTTCCATGTCATCTGCTCCATGCTGTGTCACGTTCCTGTGCTGGGTCCCTGGCAGGCGGCGTATGACAAGGTGAGGAGGGCCAAGCATCAGGCTGCAGAGAGGACACGGAGGCTGGATGAGAAGAGGAAGAAAGTAAAGCTTGGTAATACAATCAAAACTTCACTTTCTCTGCCTCACAGCTTTTGCCAGCTGAGTGTTTGCATTGCTTCTACAGCTGGAGGTCACCACTGGTCCATCTGCTGCCTGTTTGCCGTGGCTGGGGTTTCCCAGTGCAGGGCAGTACCCAGGTGGAACCTCCTGCAGCCATGGCTGGGGCTGCTCGGGGAGGGAGTTGGGGGTTTTGGTGACTGTTGGGAGTGCTGGTACATGGTGTGCCTGGGCAGAGCAGGGGCAGCAGAGCCATCAGGCTCTGCTTTGAAATGAGTATGGGTGTAGCCAAGTCTGTGATCTTCCCATCCACCTTTTTAGCAGCATCAGCAGAGAAAATTTGTATTGTTTTAATTTTGTTGCTTTCTCTGCAGATCTTGAAGCCAGAGAACGAGAAGCCCAGGCTCATGAGAGTGAAGAGGAGGAGATCAAGATAACAAGATCACTAGAACAAGAAGTAATTATAAATTCTTAATTTTTCTGCTTTTGAGAAGAATTGCTGAAAGTCTTCACAATCAGAATGGAAACCATGTGAGGAGCTGCAGCAAATGTTCAGCAGTCCTTCAGCCTGCTGGATTGGTGGGCTTTTGTAGCAGTCTGGCAAATTCTAGAATGCCAGGTTGGAAGGGACCCCAAGGATCACCCAGTCCAGCCCCTCCAGGTACCACTACAGTTGATATGAGGTGGCTCAGCACCCTGTCAGGCTGAGACTTGAAACTGTCCAATGTGGGGGAATCCATCACTTCCCTTGGGAGATTGTTCCAATGTTTGACTGTCCTCTTGGTGAAAAATTTACCTCTTGTGTTCAATGGGAATCTCCCCAGGGGCAACTTGTGCCCAGGACCCCTCATCTTTTCCATGAGACTCCTTGTACACAGGGAGTCTACATCTTCTTGGGAGCCACCCTTTATGTCAGTCCCAGGATTTTATTTGTTGCCTGCCCTTTTCCTCCTGCCCAGCAGACAACAGCAGCAGCTGCCTGCCATGTGCTGCCTGATGGGGGCTGTCACTAGGAGCTTGGGGGGCACAGCTTGAGGAGCACTGAAGCTGTCACAGGGGAACTAGCAGGAGGATTGCCCAGGAAGTGTGCAGGACACAGGCTGCCCCTGGCAGGCTGCAGCCCTGGAGCTGTGCCCTCAGACCCTGCTGTCCTGTGCTGCTGCAGATCATTCGCCTGCGAGAGGAAGGCTCCCGCCAGCTGGAGGAGCAGCAGAGACTCATTCAAGAGCAGATCCGGCTTGAAAGGGAGCAGCATCTCCAAGGTGAGAGGAGATGAGCCTGGAGCCCTCAGCCAAAGTCCTGCAGGGGGGACTGCAGCTCCCCTGTAGGGGAGCTCCACACAGGTGCAGCCTCCTACCTTGGGCACGGTGCTCTGGATGGGATCCTGATTAGCACCTTCTCGGGGATAGGTCAAAAGGCTGGGATTTCTGTGGGGCTGCTTTCTCACCCATGGCTTGCTGCTCTGGAGCACAGGACTGCTGCTCCTTCCCAGTTCCTGTTCCAAAGCCCTGAACCTCCATGGTCTGGGGTGGGGCCCCACAGTTAAGCTGGAGGGAGCCCAAATGCTGCTTGTCTGTCCCAGTGGAAGCAGCAGTGCTGCACACGCACCATGGGCAATGATTCAAGGTTGCAAAAAATAAGTGTTGTCAGTGGGTTACTGCTCTGTATCCCCTTGGAGGTTCTCACTCCTTGTCATTCAAAAGAGACTCCATGTTGGGAATCAAGTGTTGTTTAGTCTGTGGGTGCTGAAGCTTTTCTTTCTGGAACCTGAGTCTCATGTTCCTTGGGCGTACACAGACTTCATCCCAGCTTTGTACAAAGATCAGCAGCAAATCTGCCAGGAAATACTGATTTAATGAGTTAAAAAAATTAATAACACCAGAGGTCTAAATGTAGAAGCTCTTTTGTTTGTCATCAGGGTTTTCCTGTGATTCATTCAGCCCACCCTGGCCTTTCTTACCTTAATTTCCCATATCGGGAATTGAGGATGTTGAGCAGTTGCCCATCATTATAAAGCACTTAGTTGCAGGGCCAGATTAAATTCTTAGGTAATGCTAAACTGGTTTGTGTCTGCCCTTAATTTTTCCACGCTCATTTCCAGCAGCACGACCCTCTTGCAGGGAACAAAGCTGCAGGATCTGACAGGTCTCCTGCTTGTATTTTTACCCAGCTGCTTCTAGCCTGGATCATGACAAAGTCTGTGCATCCAAGAAGGGGGCAGTGCTGCTGTGCAGTGTTCAGTCAGTGCTGATGAGCCTGGGGACAGTGTTGCACAAGACTTCTGGGCCTGAATGGTCTGGTGGGAACCCAGGAGTGTTTGCTCTTCCCCTGTGTAGGTTCAGGGAGGAGGGGAAGTTCTGTACTAAATGCTCTTTAGTCAAGGAGTTTTCACCTGTGTCCTTGTCATCTCTTTCTCCTTTCCCCTCTTTAGGCAATCATACAAGAAATGGGGCAGAAGGCAGAATAACTCCCAAACTCAAGGTAAAACATCCTGATAAAGCTGGATGTTGGTGAAAACCAAGAGAACATGATGCAGCTTTGGAGAGCAGAGGGGACAGTTCAGCTCTGCTGAGCTGGCATGTCCCTTTGTGCAGTGGGGTGACTTTCCTCTCTCTGGTGTGTGTCACACGTGGGAACAGCTCCTGTTGCCGCCTTGAAAATACCTTTCCTCCCTCACCCTTTCCTCTGCTGCCTGCTCTAGATTTCTGAGCCTGAAATTGCATTACTTCTGCTTTAGGCACAGGGACACATCTGCTTATTGCCCTGCTGTGGCCATTATTAGGCTTTGAGGCACTAACTTGAGGATTTCCATATGCAGTGTTTCTCCTCTTCCCCAGGGGATTTGTTCCCTTTCCACATTCTGGTGTGGAAATCCCTGTTCTGGCAGTTCTGGAGTGTAGTTGTAAATAGCAAACTCAGCATTGGAAGTGGCATCACCTGTTCAAAGGTACAAAATTAACTTGTCACCTTTATTTCCCAGCTGAAATGGAAATGCAGGAAGGAAGATGAGACCAGAGGGGGATACTCAGAAGATGTTCTGTTGAGGATCCTACAAAAGGTCCTGTCTGACACCTCCCTATTACTTGATCTTCCCCTGCCCTAAATGGTGTAGGAAAGGACACTAAATTCTGGGAAGCTCCATATAGACCAGAGTGGCTCACTTTTTTTTTCCCCATTTCCAGCTTTCTCATGCCATTTTCAGAGATGATCAGTATGATCCATGAGCTGTGAGCTGGTTCCCAATTCTCACCCCTGTCTTATGCCCAGCAGGGACTCCTGCTGAAGCAGAGTGACTCCAAGCTCTTCCTCTGCCCTGGACAGAAGTCTGCCTGTTAAGGTGCACTTTTGCCTCCACTGAAAGCCCTGCACATCAGCTGCAGGGGAAGTTCAGAGGCAGGAATAGAGGAGCCTTTCATCTGATAAATCCCTGCATGTGGTCTTTATTTTCCCTCCATGCAAGTACCTCCTGTAGCTCTGACACTGAGCTGGGTCTTGCTGGAAGCAACATTTGGAGCTCCATGCCTGCCCAGGATTACTTCCTGGAGGGATGGGAATTATGACAGGTTGGGATCAGTGGAAGCATCATGTAAGAAAGGGTGATGGCTTAAGCCTCATGTCTGTGAAAACACATGTTTTCACTGCTTTCATTCCACAGGTGAACTTGACTTCTCTCCTGGCCCTGTAATTAACTTCTCTCTCCCTTTGCCTGGCAGTATGGAGAGGTGCTCAATTTGATCATCTCCAGCAGGAAGACTGGGAGTGCAGTCGTGGAATTTGCGACGGTGAAGGCTGCTGTGAGTCTGGGGGGGCCCCAGCTGTGTGACCCCAGCTGTGTGCAGTGGGGAAGGGACAGGAGGGGTGCTGGAGGAGGGAGGGATGGCAGGCTGGGGGCCCTGAGACACTGCTGTGTCATTACGGCAGTGGAGAAGGGTAATGAGAGTCTGGAGGCAGAGCTGCAGGAAGGGAGTGGCAGAGCTGGAGGCAGCGACCCAGATCAGATCCTGCACATAAACAAACAGGCTGTGCATGTGAAAGGCTGAGGAAAGAGACACTGCTTCCAACAGCAGGCACTGAGCCACTGAATCAGCCCTCACTGAAGGTGAGTGGCCTGTTGTGGAGATGGGCTTCAGGAGCTTTAGAGGCTGTATCAGGCATTTGCAGTTTAAAAGAAATCAGAGTATCTTGGCTCTCTGTGAGTTACAGCAATTTATGTGACTGTGGAAAGACAGCTCATCAGTTCCCTTAGTTTCAGTAGTTCCATCAACCTACTCTATGCAAGAGTCTATGCTCTTGTCACCTGTTCTTTCACTTGTGTCAAATAATCACAGAACCCCAGAACTGCCCAGGAGCTGTTGATCAAAGCCCTGGCAGGGACATGTTCTGGCCATGCTTGGTGCAGGTCTGGACCTTCAAGGGTGCTTCTCATGGGGGGCAGCTGTGGGATCCCCCTTGTCTGTGCCCTGCTTGGCCTTGATGCTGGGCTGAGATGGCGAAACTCTTGTGACCTCTGAGGGAGTGGGGTCTGAAATTCAGACTGTGATGGAAGAATGTTTTCATTGGTAGGAGATGGCTGTGAAGAATGAAGTTGGCCTGATCAATAATCCTCTGAAGATTTCCTGGCTGGAGGGCAAGCCCCAGCATAGTCCCAGCACTGTCCCTTCTGATAGCACTGGTCAGCCCAGGACTTCACAGGTAAGGAGACAAAGGCTGCTGATATTTTAATCTGTTTCTATAGCAACCTAAATTTAACTGTGTGCTCTGCATTTATGGTGAGATTAGTTGATGCCCAGCAGAGCTGAAAAGAAGCTCTTACTGGAAGGCCTGCCTTTTCTGCTGAGCCTTTCTGTGCTGAAGCAGTTCCCTGTTGGAAGGACCTTTTGCCTGAGCAGCAGCATGAGAACACAGGCTGTTTGGATGACTTGACTCTTGACACACTCTCACTTTCTTTCTACCAAGTGAAAAACAAGGATGTTCCTTGCTCAGCCCGAAGCCTCTAATCCCATTCTTCTGGAATTGTTTCTAATATGCTTTGACTGTGGGAATCCTCTGGCTGAAATGGGTCTCTTGGGAGGCTTCTTTAGAGAGGCTTGGTTACTGAAGAGGGTGAAATTTCAGTGCTGAAAGGAAACCTGTTTTCTTAGGGTCTCTTAGGAAGAGAAAGTAATATCAAAAGAAATGCCCTTGTAGAGACCTTACTGTGGTTTGGGTCCTTGTCACCAGTGTGGTTGCCCTGGGTGCCAGGTGTCTGTTAACTCTCAACTGCTTCCTGTTTATTTTACCAGGTAATCTCTCTGAAGCTGTTGCTCCTGAGTACCAAGTGTATTCCAGTCACAAAACACATGGGATGCAGTCACATCTAGTGGTTAGAACACAAACCAGTCTGGGGCTTCTGTGAATCTGTTGGATCCTTGTTATCCCAGTTGGCCTCTGGAGTGGGAGCTGAATCCACTCCTGAGGCAGGGAAACCACACTTTTCTGGGCAGCACAGAGTGTGTCTTGTGCTCTGCCTGTCTGCTGGGCTGCTCAGTAATTCCTTGGCTGTGAAGCTGTGAAGGGACCCAAGATACTTTGTGGGTTATTTGACTTCAAGCCCAGTGTGACACTTGTTCCCCTCTCCTCCTTCCCTGTGGCACAAAGATCAAAAAGGTGGAATTGCTGAGAGGACTCCAGCCTCCTGCCCTGCTGGTGCCCTCAGTCTGTGTCTGTCTCCACCACCCTGGTTTGTGCTCACTACCTAAATGTTGTCTCAGCTTGTGGGATTGTTTAGTACATTCACTCTCCTGACTTCTTGCTAACTACTTCGTTTATAGCAGATGCATTTACGCATCAGAATGCATTGTTGTTACCCTGGTTTTGTGTCTTTGGGATGCTTGTCTCTGCCCAGCCTGGCTGGAGCAGCACAGCTTCCCAGGGCTCTCAGGAGAGGCAGGTACAGTGTGGTACCCAGGGGCTGGGCAGATCTCTGCAGGGTGCAGAGCCTGTGAGAGCCCTGCAGGCTCACGGGGGTGGTCTGTGTTGGCAGGCTAACTGGGGAGAAAAGCAGAATCCAACCCAGTTTATCTGAGTGTCCCTTGCCAGTGGAGAGTGAGACCTGGCTCTGAAGAGCTTGTTCATCCCTAAGGGTGGTGTGGTAGCTTGGTAGTGGATTCTTGCCTCTGTGGGTTCAACAGCCCTGGCTTTTGACTGAGTTTGTCTTGGCCTATTTCCATGGGCAGGGTTTGGTGAGGAGCTGCAGCATCTGCCTGCTGTGAAGGATGAGGCTGGGGCTCAGGGGGGTCCTGCTGGGTGGTGCTGATTCACTGTCCAACACAGCCCATGGATCCCACCTTGGCTCTCTGAGTGCTGAGAGGTTCTGGCCAGTGACTTGCCTCCCTTCCCAAGAATTGCTCTGCTGGGGCTGGTCTGTCCTCCCCAAATCCTGCTGCTGCTTCCACTAGGATGCTTCCAAAATCTGTAACGTGGTAGCAGCTCCCCTTGGCTGTTTGCTCCAGTTGACTTTTTGTCCTCAGCTCCTCAACTCTAGACTATGCAAAACAAGCTCTTCCAACCTGCCTCAACCTACTCCCTGCCTCATCCTTTCCTACCCAGTCTGGCTCCCCAGCCATCGGGACCCACATTCCTG